CAACAACAACAATATTGCAAACAGGAGCCCTGGTGGCACCGTGGGTTAAGCACTGGGCTGTTGACTGAAAGGTCAGCAGTTCAAACCCACCAGTAACTCCATGGGAGCAAGATGAAACAGTCTACTTCGGAGCAGTTCTACTCTGTCCTCACGGGGCAGCTGCGATTCAAAATCATCTCAATGGCAGTGGGTTCATATTGGAATCACTGAGTAATGAATGTATAGTAAAATATTATGACCAGGGTATTTATAAGCTAGGGGAGAACAGATGGTAGTGAGGAACTAAGTCATCAGCTATCAAAAAGAACGCTAATAGGTGATACAAATTTGGTATATTTTTCCAATCAAGATATAGCAGAACACGGATATGCCAGAAGAAATAGCTCAGCGTTTCAAGCCACTGAAATAACTGGAGGAGGTGGAGTGGGGGGTGGAGTGGGGGCTGGGATGGCTGGACGCTGCTGGTCTGCTTCATTCAAGGTTTCTTCCTTCTTTTTTAAAATTTGTATTCATAATATTGTATCTATAATACTATTAAAATGTCTGCAGCTCTGAAGTGCCCTATAATTACCGGCATTGGACAAAAGGCCACTAAGAACAAAACCAGGCCGAGGTCTCTATCTGGCTGTTCCCTCTCCCCCTGGGGACAGTAAGGATGTGCCCAGAGGACTGAGAGATGAGCAGCGGGCAAAGTTGTGGAGTCAGAAAGAGTGCAGCTATCTCTCCAGCCCCAGACTCAGCTGAGGTGGGGAGCGTTTAGCAAAACCAAAATGTGTCCAAGGGAAGATCTGGGGGTGTTCCACAGGAGGGGGCCTGGGCCAGAACTGCGAGTGCTGGGGGCTGGCTGGAAGGCATGGAGGGTCTCACTTACGTGCACACACTCCTATTGCGTACCTCGGGCGGTCCCTGCTGTAGTCACAGTAGAGACCCCGGTGGGGATCACAGATGGCGGCCTCTGTGCAATTATCCCCAAGCTGTTGGGCACAGGTCTTACAGCACTCACAACCGTCCGTGACGAGGCTGACCCCCAGCGGGCAGCGAGGCGGGGACAGCGGGCATTCGCAGGGCCACTTGCAGAACTGGGGGCGCAAGAATGTGTCCTCCAGCGGTGTCGGGGTGAAGGCCATGGCTGTGGGGGCAGAAGACTGGGCCTGCAAGGAGAATGATAGTGGTGAGGAGGGCTGGCTGGTTCCAAAGCCCAGGGAGCCCATCTTCCTGGCCTTCTAGACATTTCCACAGAGGAATCACCATTAATTCTCATCATTTATTGTAGTTATGTTTTACGAGGAAGCTTCCAAAGTTCATGAAGAAGTGGAATGGAAAATGTCCACCAACTCTTTGAAGTCCGCATCATATAAATCCACTGCGAACACTGAGTTAGCAAATATTGAACCATTGCACGTCTCAACATTTTTATGAACCAATCAACATAAGCTTGTTCTAGATTTTTCTGTTTAAAGACACCTCACTTACTACATACGGCTGATTCACGAACATGGACCCATGACCACGGTACTATCCCTTATGCTTGAATGAAGCTCATCCACCACACGTATTTTCTACGTAAGGCCTGAGGGTCTTCTTGGGGAGACCACAACCTTGAGAGCAGTGTGGAGCAGTTCTACTATGCATGCCTGGGGTCACATGGAGTCAGAATCAACTTGCTGGCAATTAGCACCCGTGTGTTCTATAAAGTCACTGCAAACACTGAGCTAGTGTACACAAAACCACTGCTCCGGGGGAAATGCAGGAGTAGGTGCCTGAGAGTCTGTGGTCACAACATTTCCACCAGCCAGTCAGTACAGAACCTTCTAGTATGTGTGTTTCTGTTGTCGTTAAGTGCCGCAAGTCAAGTCGGTTCCAACTCATAGCGACCCTGTATAGGGTTTCCAAGGAGCAGCTGGTGGGTTTGAACTGCCACCCTTGGGGTTCTCAGTCCAGTGCTGATCCTGCAGTGCCACACCAGGTTCTGTGGTTCTGTTTTGAGATACCTTATTTAATCTACATCGTTGATTCGTTAACATTGTACTCACAGGCCACAGCAAACTGCTAACAGAGTGAAGCTTGTCCACCACGGTTTTCCCTGTGAGGCACATGGCAGCCTCTTGGCATTATGAACACCAGACAGCACTTCTGCACTATGCTTTGGGGGCCTGGTTCAAAAAGCGAAATCACCACCAACAAGTGCAAAGATGCAAAAGATGTGGCATTAAGGGAGCCCTGGGGTGGCGCTGTAGGAGAAGCACCAGACTGCTAACCACAAGGTTGGCTGTTCAAACCCACCAGCCGCTCCTCAGAAACCCTCGACAGGAACCAACTCAATGGCACTAAACGAGAGGTGGTGTACAGAAGGGACTCTTGGGTACAGTACGAGAGCTGGAACAAGAAGACACATATCGCCTGGTTCAACCTTGATTAGGAACATGTGTGTTGTCAGCCAACTCCAGTCTTCTTTATGCTTATAAATGACCTGAACCCCACTATTGGTAAGTGAGGGGCTCTGATTCTACAGACTCTTGTACTTCTTTATGTCTGCTTCCTTGTCATCCCCACCATCCCGGAAGATTGAGTCATTTTGTGGAGCAGGGAGGTGAAACTCTGAACACCAGCTCACTGCCATTCCTACTTCTTCTTAAGGGTCCTCAAGACCTCTCTGGACAAGAAGTCTCTGATCGTCAGTGCATTTTGGCCAGCTGAGCAGTTTTCTCTGGGAAGGGCTGGAGTGATGTGGTAGTAGGTATGTGCTGATGACCGTGGTCTCCCCCTCCAGACCCCCCACCTGTACCCAGTATCCTCATTCCCATCCCAGCCAACAGGTAGGTCTTTATCTGGGCATATGTGACAGATATGACAATGCATCAGCCCAGAATGGAAAATAAGGCTCGAAGAGCATCCCAGTCCTGAAAAACGGGCCGACGGAGACCTCTGGAGTGTCTGTGCTTATAAGAGGGGCCCTGGTGGTGCATTGGTTAAGCACACAGCAGTCCAAACTCACCAGCCACCCCTCAGAAGAAAGATGTGGTTGTCTGCTTCCGTAAAGGTTCACAGTATTGGAAACCCTATGGCCCCAGAGGAGGCCCCTGAACATCAGGCATGGAGGCCTCTGCTCAGCCAGCAAAGTTACAGCTGCATGCATGGTTTAGGGGAGAAGAAGTGGGGAGAGGTGCTCCGGGTAAGGTGCTACCTCAGTAGGACTCTTGGCTCTGGCCTGGCACATAGTTAAGTGTATGAATATTCATTCAACAAACACAGGACTCTGGAAAGTTAGACAGGAAACCCCTGGCTGGGTGCTGTTATCACCTCTGGGCACTCGGTTCCTGAGTGGTGCAAACAGTTAATCGACTCACAGCTAAACCTAAAGGTTCAAGTCTTCTCAGGGGCACCTCAGAAGGATTCAGTCATGGAAAACACTGTGGAGCACAGTTAGACTCTGGCACATGTACACGGGGCTCACCATGAGTGGGAACTAACTGGCAGCAGCTGGCCAGGCATGGCATCTGGGCCTCAGTCATCTCCTCAGGCTTCCCTACCTCAAGGACTTTGTCATGCATTTTCCAGTGACATAAATGCTGTTCCCACCACTCTGCACACATGCTCTGTACCCTTCAAGCCTTACAAACCCCATCCCTGAAGAGGAATTTCCTCGCCCCAAATCACCCTTCCGTGTGTCTGAGTTTCCTCCCTGTCACTACGGAATTAGCAATTAGACAGAACATGTGTATGTGTGTTTCAGGGGGGGGGGGGGGGGAGTAGGGACCTCTGTGAAGACAGGGCAGGCAGAGTCCATCCAGCTCCCTGCTGTCCCCAGTAGGTCCAGAGCAGGAAGTCTGTGGGGCCTGGCGCCTATTCTTGCTTACCTCCTTCCTACCCCATCCTGTCCTCATTGGGGACCCAGGGGACTTCTCTGGGAGGACAGAGATGGAAACCCAGGCTAGTTGAAAGATTTGTGGCTGCAGCCACCCCCAGGGTGCACGACCTGCCTTGGGCAATGTGCCAGGGAGCAAAGGACTCCCTGGGATTTGGTAGTTCTTGCCTGAGATTGCCTGGAAGGCATGAATGTGCCCTTGTTTGCTTTTCCTCAAAACACAGCACAAGGAAACCCCAAATCAACAATCAAAAGCAAATATGCGTACAGACACTCACCCAGCCCCCAGAGAGACTCTTCCTTGTCAGGGTGTGACAAGGGTAGACCCCCAGCTTTGTGAGCACCCGCCCTCAAGACAAACTCTTGGCCTCACCTCCAGGAAGCCTTCCTTATTGTTCCCAGGTCATGTCAAAGGGGCTGCCTCCTGTGACACCCATCATGCCTTGCACATCCCTCTAGCTGCTGTCTGACTGACCTGCATACAGCATATATACCCAGCACATAGCACACAGCTCATAAACTTCCTGTCTGAATGGCTGGACGTGTGTTTGTTGCCTGGAAAGTTTGTAGGTACCATCTTTTTAATCGGGGAAGTTCAGTTCTTTGAGAGCTGGACCGTCTCCTCTCAGCATTGGGCTAGTGAGGGGGTTAAAAAAAGACCATTGGAAGCAGGGCTTGGAGCCAGGTGGAAGTGGGTTCCAATCCCAGTTTTGACTCATGCTCTCTGTGTGGTCTTGCGCAGACTTTCTACCATTTCTGAGCCTCATCTGTGCCGTTGTTGCTGATAAGTGCTGTTGAGTCGGTTCTGACTCACAGTGAACCTGCATAGGATTTCCGAGGAGCGGCTGGTGGGTTTGAATTGCCAACTTTGTGGCTAGTAGTCCAGTCGCTAGGGTTGTGATAATGTCCACTTATGGAGCTACTGAATGAAGGGACATTGCTGTTGTTAGATATCATAGGTTCTGACTCATAGCAACTCATTGTCCACCTGAGAAAAGCTGCCCATCACACACACACACACACACACACACACACACAGCTGTGTTACTGTAAGCACCTCGTTGCTGCCACATTATGATATGGAAGCACCAGCTTAGGGTTAAGTACAAGACACTCCAAAGCACAACTCCACTAGTAGAACTGTGCTTCTCCCTCCTCCCCACTTTCTCCATCCTCACCCCTCACCCTGTAGTCTAGTACTGAACTGTGGGTCTGGATACCTGGAGCGAGCTAGAAACAGTTGTAACCTGGTGGGTGCCCCCCACGTGGTCACCATGCACTGCCCCAGAGTGATGGCTCCTGAGTGAGGTTCCACAGCATGGAATCTGTGAAGGGGGCCACAGCAGGGTCTCCTGGGAAGAAGGAATGAGGGGCAGACTGAGCCAAACCTTGGCTGTTGGCACCACCTAGTGGTGAGAGAGCTCCAGCCCTTGGTTCAGGGAAGAGGGCCCTCAAAAAGTCTGTGGTGGTGGGAACCTCAGGGCCCTCCCTGGTGTGAATTCCCTCCAGGTGCCAGGACCTGAGAACCCTGGATTGGATGCTGTGTGGCCTCTCTGAACCTGGGCTTCCTTGACCAGTACTGACCCTCAGAGCCACCAGTAAGTCAAGACTCCATGATGGTCAGTGAATGAGTTCTCTGTCTGTCTGTCTGTTTGTCTGTCTCTCTCACACACAGGACATCAGCCATGTTACATGACCAGAATGACCAGTCTGCCAGGCTCTGCCTTGGTAAACAGCTGTTGTCACCAGGTTTTCTTTCTTTTCAGAAGGAGTTGGGAGATGTCTCAGCTTCTCTTTACCTGGCCACTCACTTATGAAGAGAACGGAATTCCTAAGGTGCCCTACCTCCCTTTGCTCCTCTGCCTAGAGCCATACATGAGTGCACTTCACCCTGCCCTGCAGGGGGCATGGGGGGGCAGTGGGGTGGGACTAGGGATGAGGGAGGAGAGGGGGCATTGAAGGGAAGGGAGGAGGGGGACTCTTGGAGTGAGGCAGGAGCCAGGGGCACTGGGGTAAGGGAGGTGTGAGGGGCTACTGCTGAGTGTTTTATCAGTGCATTATGGGAGCACATCTCCACACTCAGACTGTGGGCCAGAGCTGTGGCTGTACAGGTTACCTGCCTTCACACACACACCTGTCCACCACCCACCTACTCAGGTGTGACTATTTCCTGTGGTCCAATGTCCAGCCAGTGGTACCCATCAGGGTCTTCACAGCATGACCTTCTCTTGGTTGGAAATGCAAATGCATACGGTTCTTTGTTTTCAGACTCAAATCACTGGACCT